CTTCCTTCCTTCCTTCCTTCCTTCCTTCCTTCCTTCCTTCCTTCCTTCCTCCCTCCCTCCCTCCCTCCCTCCCTCCCTCTTTCCTTCCTCCCCTTCCCTCCCTCCCTTCTTCCTTCCTTCCTTTCTCTTCCCTCCCCTCCTTCCTTTGTCCCTCCCTCCCTTTTCCTCCCTTCCTCCCTCCCTCCCTTCTTCCTTCCTTCTTTCCTTCCTCCTCACTCCCTCCCTCGCTCCCTCCCTTCTCTTTTTGGTGCATCTTGTAGAAGAGCAAAAAAAAAAAAAACCTCTAAGGAAGAAATTGTCTTAACCTCTTGAGGTTTAAAGGTCTCCTCTCCAGATCCTCCCATGCTTTAAAATTTATTTTAATAATCCAATTGTTCTAAGCGGTTGTTTCTCTTGGCAGAGACCTTGGGGAAGAATGTGATGACATGAACAAAGTGAATCATGACGGATGCTCCCTCTTTTGCCGTCAGGAATTATCTTTCAACTGTGTAGGTAAGTTGGCTGGGGTATCCTTCTCATCAGCAAACACCACCATGCGCGCACATCCCACGGATAACGCAAGGTCCAAGCCGTGGAGAGGAACGTTGCTCTTACCATCCATCGAGGTGGCCTGAAGTGAAAGAGAGAGATCAGCATCTCTTCAGCAGGTTTCTTGGACCAAGAGGCAAGTGTTGTGGAGCTAGTCTTTTCTTTCCAAGCCACGAATAGAAAAATAAATTCATCTCTTTAATAATAATAATTTTTTTAAAGTTGAGCTTTTGGCAGCGAGGCTTATGAGAGCTTGTATGTCTTTTATCTGAGAATAACTGGAGATTTCAGGCAACCTTTAGCCCTGGTGAATGCTGTTAACTCCTTTGTAGAGGCAGTGGAGTCAAAGTGTCTACAAAGCTGGTGAATTCAACTCAACGGTAGCAATTGTGAACGTTCTACCCACCCACCCCCAAAAACCCCATTTCAATTCAACACTCAGAGACAAAGTCCGTCCAAGTAAGAATTTAATAAAGAAGTCCCATTGGCACATCTGGGAAAACCCAAATCTGAAATTCCAGGTTTTCCCTTCCCCAAGTGAAAATCAAAGATCCACCTCCTGCACCCAATAGTCCATCACATGGCCCAATCAGACATTGTTCTATCCAATGCTCTTGTGTTGTTATGGTTGAAGCTGAAGTATTCATTGACAGGCAGGACATTGCAATGTATGATTTTATATACTATACTTAGATCGGACCGAAGGCGGCGTAGTTCTAGGTTTTCTAGGTCTAGAATTTCAAGTCTGGTGGCTTAAGGTATTCTGCAACAAGTAGAGGAGTGGAGAACTCTTCTTGTGAAATATTTCTGGACTTTCTCAACTGTGCTAATATCAGATACATGATGTGGATTCCAGACAGTTGGAAACTAACCAAGGAGAGAAACTATCCTAGAACGAAGGAGAAATTTCCTGACTTAATTTAGAACAATTTAATCAGTCGGACAACCTTCCTTCAGAAGCTATAGGTGCTCCAACACTTCAGTCTCTTGAAGAAGAGATTGGACAACCGTTTTCCTGAACTGGTATAGGATTTCCTGCTTGGACTAGAAGACCCCCAAAGTCTCTTCCAACCCTATTCTTCTACGTTGTGCAAAACACTCACAATAATGCCATTGTTAACCAAGTCTGCTATCGTCTTGGGGGCCAGAATAGTACTTTGTTTTGACTAGTGTGCGAAACCAGCCTTAAATTTCACCCCGATTCAGGTTTATTCACACTTTAACACTCAGGGGTTTAAGCGTTCTTTGTATTCCATCTTTGATGATGGAAATGGTCAATCCTTCCTGGTTTCTTTGTAATTGGAGCCCTCCTCCCCACTCCCACCCACCCCCCACCCCATTCTAAACCCTAGATCCAGTGGAAGCTTATCTATAGGATCTTTAGGGGGAAGCTGAACTCTGAAAAGCTCCGAAGGGGTCAAGTCTTTGGGAGCCCCAAGTTGGCAAAGCTGAAGGAGCTGACATCTCCTTTGAGATGCTAATGAGCCCCCTTGAAGGGGCATCAAAGTTGCTTTTATCCTTCCTTTTCAGGGATGATAATTGCTTAACCAGATCTTTTTATTCCTGAGGCTTGATTAGCAATGATTGTCAGCGCTCAATGGCGGCAGGATGCTTGGAGTATACAAGAGATGGGTGTCCAGAGATTTAGCTGTTTGTTATAAATTTCCCTCTCTTTCCCCCTAGTTCTTCTTTTTGGTGGGGGAAGGAGTGAAACAGCTCTGTGACTCTTAGAGCAAAGAAATTCACACTAGTGGGAGAATCAGACTTCAGATGCTTCATAAAAGGACAAAGGACATCGCTGGCTGTTGCTAATTGGGGCAATTCAATGGCAATGCCCAATCCCTAAAATACATTTCAGCGTTTAGATGTTGAGCATCACGTTGGACAAAGCTTACTTGATACATGCACTAGGTGTATTGCACATCAAATCAATCAGAAGACCAGAGAATGGTTAAAATAAGGCCACACTTGGAACACGGCATCCACTTTTGGTCACCACAATATAAGAAAGATGTCGAGACTCTGGAAAGAGTGCAAGGAAGAGCATCAAAGATGATTAAGGGACTGGAGGCTGAAACATACAAAGAACGGTTAATCTAGTCTAATAATAAGAAGGACTAGGGGGTGACATGATAGCCTTCTTCCAATATCTGAGGGGCTGCCACAAAGAAGAGGGGGTCAAATCTATTCTTCAAAGCCCCAGAAGGCAGGACAAGAAGCAATGGGTGGAAACTAGTCAAGGAGAGAAGCAACCTAAAGCTAAGGAGGAACTTCCCGACAGTTAGAACCATTAACCAGTGGAACAGCTTGCCACCAGAAGTGGTGGATCCACCAACTGGAGGTTTTTAAGAAGATACTGGCCAACCGTTTGTCTGAAATGATGTAGGGTTTCCTGGTTGACTACGAGACTGAACTAGAACATCTCCAAGGGCCTTTCCAACTCTGTTATTCTGTTTTTCTTCGGTGATTCCTTTACAGTAGTAGAAAGGAAGGAAAACATTAACTTGTTTTTGACCGTTACTAACCAAGCATACTAGTTGGGCCTACCATTTCCAACTAGCATGTCCCCTCACGAAAAGCTTTGAAGTAGCTTTATTCTTTCAGCCCTTTTAATGCATCCAATCATGGTCAACTTGATGACAAAAAGCCAACTCTATTGTCTAACATGACTTGGGATGTTGGCAGCTTGTTGAAGTTCCTCTTGAAACCCACACAAGTCACACTCCATTGTCTCAGCCATCAAGCACAACCTACCAATAATCCCAGCAGTGAGACTGGGATTAGACCACACAGTCATCTGGACCAGGAGTTGCCCTTCAACAATTAAAAGGCAAGCTCCAGAAACGTGGGTTGCCTTCAACACGGTGCTCAATCTAGTTTCCAGATCAGATCATTTTCCTGCACAGTGCTGGGAATTGTGAAGATTTTTTTTTTTTTAATGGGCCAGATTCGCCCCAATGCACAAAACTCCGCATGACATGAAAACTCCTCAAGAGCGGTGCCAATGCAGCCTTTATTTTTGCAACTGACCTGTTGAACTGCGTTCTGTGAATGTAGCATAAATTTGGAAGAGTGACAGCTGGCCCACCACTGTTTGCTTATCTACAATCGGCTCAGGAAAGGCCGCCACCTTCTGAGACAATCCTTATTGTTAGGATGTTCATGATCAACAGCTCTTTAAGTCCACGTTGCTGTGTTCCACCGTTCTTGGTTTTGTTTTGTTTTTCATGGGAAGAAGGAACGTTGCATTTTGCTCTCTCACCTTGCCGGGATCTGTTATCTTTTGCCTCTGTGCATTCTCAGCTCACAAACCCTCTTGCATTTGCTTGTTGACCTGTAACGTTGTTAGCTTCTGCTTATGTTTTTCCTGGCCTGTTGTTTGCCCCAAGCCTCCTCCTAATCAGATACGACTTGGATCGATCTGCTTTAGATCACAGGAGGTAAAAATAGCAGGAACAAAAGTGAATGTGTGGTCTTCTCTCTCTCTCTCTCTCTCTCTTCTCTCCTCTCTCTTCTCTCTTCTCTCTCTGTCCTCTCCCCCCTCTCTCTTCTCTCTCTTCTCTCCTCTTTTTTTCTCTCCTCTCTCTCTCCTCTCTCCCTCTCTCTCTTCTCTCTCTTCTCTCTTTTCTCTCCTCTCTCTCTCCTCTCTCCCTCTCTCTCTCCTCTCTTCTCTCCTCTCTCTTCTCTCCTCTCTCTCTCTCCTCTCTCCCTCCCTCTCTCTTCTCTCTTCTCTCTTCTCTCTCTTCTCTCTTCTCTCCCCCCCTCTCTCTCCCTCTCCCTCTCTCTCTCTTCTCTCTCCTCTCTCTTCTCTCCTCTCTCTCTCCTCTCTCCCCCTCTCTCTTCTCTCCCTCCTCTTTCTCTCTCCTCTCTCTCTTTCTCTCCCTCCCTCCCTCTCCCCCCTTTCCCTATCTCGGTCAGACTGCCCTGGTCTCCTGAAACCCAATTTTGCTTTTCCCTCCTCCCATACACACACACAAAAAATAAAATAAAAGGAAGCGGATTGAATTAATGCTATTTTGTTCTTCCAATGCTCACATCAGAATATGGTTCCTTGGCATCTGAGTCTTTTCCTTTTATACGTTCTGGGCTGGTACCTTTGCCTGAGACGCTCTGAAGAATACAGATGGGCTCTTTTGGTCTAATTTCAGGGGTGCAAACATCGGGGTTGTCACTGGAAAGGGGGAAAAAAAATCACAAAACTGCGTGTGACTTATTTTGGCCATGTCCTATGGGGGAATTCGCTGGAGAAAGCAATTATGTTTGGAAGAGGTTAGCGGTAAAAGGAAACCGGGCCATCCAAAAACCATGTGGCTGGACACCATCAAAGCTGACATCAACCAGAGCATCGAACAACTCAAAGAAGTAGGGAAAGATTGGAAGATGTGGAGAATCCTGGCCCAAAGAATGACCAAGAGTCAGACACAACTGAATGGATGACATCATCATCGTCATCAAAAGTTGTGTTTATTGTTGTCTAGTGTTTGTTAGCTTTCTGGCTCCTTCCTTCCCCCCTTTTTTCTGCAAGTGTCTGAGACTTCCCATGTGCCGTGTGTGGTTCAATGCATGCTTTCGTGGCACACATCCCCGAACTCTAGGGCTGGAAGGAACCTTGGAGGTCTTCTACTCCCACCCCTTGATTAAGGCAAGAGATCTTATACAGTCACAATCAAATCGTTGCCCAGTCTCTTCTTAAAAACCTCCGATGGTGAAGCGCCCACAACTTCTGGAGGCAAGCCGTCTCACTGGTTAATCGTTCTTACTGTTAGGAAATTTTTACGTTGGATTCTCTTTAACAAGCTTCCACCGATTAACCTCACTGCAGTTGTGCTACAGGGAAAAAAAACCAAACAAACATCTCCCCATACTTTGATCGAGTCTTCCTGGGGACTTTGGACCCATTCAGAAAGTGGGAAGAAGTGAAGAAAGGATCCCTGATGGCAGTGGTGGGATTCAAACTTCATTAC